AAAACTGTTCACTGCACGCAAAACCGCAACAAAAAATATGCGTCCAACAGTTTTCCGTGGCGTTTGCTGCCAGCTGACCGGAAGGGTTAAAATACTCAGCTGGTTGCTGCGTGCTACAGAGTACCATATAAAATCTTTTTTTTGTGGAGTGCCCTTTGAGCGCTGAAATACCGTGGGGATATTTGGTTTTATAAATCATTAAGCTATAAAATTAAATAAATAAAAAGTGTTTAAATTTACGAATTTCAATATAAACAAATATACAACAAGGCTGCAAATCTGCCGGTTGAAGTCGGAACTCTAATATTTTATAAACCATAAATTGAGCTGGAAGCCGCTTCAGTTGAATAAAGAACCGGACCATGTTTTTTCGAAAAGCGATTTGGATGGCAACAATATTATCTAACAGTCTCATTGCTCTTAATCTGAATTCGTCTCTAGTTTTACATAATTTGAAAGTATTTAGTTATAGTAAATTTGACGAATAAATTTCGTTTAACCGATGTGGGAAACCATCAGACTGATGCACAGAATATTAGCCTTGATATAAGTATTACAGCTTAGTTATAGTCCAAATAAAAAGTATAAAAAAGTATAAAATACCTTCTGCTACCATAAATGAAACACAAATTTTTTTCAACTAAAAATATGCCACAGGTAGCGCATGAGCGAAGCCAGCAGCAGAGCGTTTTTGCAATTATTTGCATAAAAAAAATTGAAAATGCAGCATGTAACTTTGCAAAGAAAAATAAAAAGAGAAGACTGCAACTCATGCATAACCGGTTTTTACCCGTATTGTAGTTAAATTTTAATGCACAGAATCAGGCTTAAGTTTTTTTTTTTTCATTCCAGCTGTGGCAATAAAATACCAAATAATCAGCAACAGTCTGTGAAATTTAAAACAAAGTGTTACGCATACGCAACGTGGTCCCAATGGCAGCTGGATAGACTGACTGGCTTGCTGGCTGATTCGGTACGTTTTTGTTGACATTTAAGCCTTGAACGGAATGCAAACTTCATTAAAACTTGCAGGCAGGCAGGCATAATTATTAATGAGAGTCCCGCCCAGTTGAGTTCACAATTAAGCTCGTTACGGCATTTAAGTGCTGCTCATTAAGGCAGCAAAAAGGGTGGAGGGAGTGGAGATAGAGCATACGAAATATGCGTAATTAGCAGGCAGCTCTCATAAATCAACAGCGGCCATAAATTGAATGCAGCAAACTCAGCTACAAGCGGCAACATTAAAGATACAAAGATACAAAACTGCAGATACAAATTGTGCGCTTATCGCAATTACAGCCTCAAGCATTAGCAAACACACACACACACACACAGAGATACACAACTGCCTATGCCAAGTTATTAAAAAACTTTCATATTGGCCTCGAAGATATGTGTATAAGCTATGCCCGGCCTATGCGGGCCCAAGGTCGGCAAGACAGCAACAAATACCAACATATTCGATGGCCATTCGCATAAGCATGTGTGAGTACATTTATTAAACAACTTTTCGGCCAAGGCAGCGGGACAGCAACTGGCAAATAGCTCGAACGACTGTAAGGAACCATGCGCTTGTGTTCCTGAAAATAGTTTCGCCCAAATTTCTGCCAATATTCTGCAACACATTTCACTAACTGAGAAATTGTCTTATATTTGCTGTAACAAATTCATATAATTTATCTTAAGACAAGATCGAATCGATTTACCGGAACACTTACATATATAGTACGTATGTGCCATTTTGTTGCCTGCCCCGCCCACAACACACCGCCCATCTCCAACCCACTGTGTTAAATGGGCAAGCCTAAAAGCATAGTAAACTTTTTGCGGAAATGACACGAGTTCCGATTCCGACGCGCGGCTCTTAACTGGCAGGCGGCAGGCCACAAACGACCATAATAATAGACTATTGCAACAACAACAACATCAACAACAACAACAATAACAGACGCATACTAATATAAGTCGTTTGACTACAAAAACATTTAACATTGACTTCTACAGCTGACCAACTGTTTATTTCCGTTGGCCTGGTCAATCAAAGCTTTTGCATTACGTTTTAGCCAAGTAAAGTGTACATTGAAAATCTTCCACAAATCTTATTGACTTTGTAATTGTTGTTGTTGTTGTTGCTCTTGCATTTTGCATTATTTATGCAATTGCCTTTCGTTATTTGCTGGCAATAAATGAAACGAACAGAAAGCTTTTAAATTAATTAAAACTCTTTGATTGACTTTCAGCTTAATTTGAACTTAGGGATAAAAGTGTATTTATTCTTAAAACATTTGCTGCAGAAACATTCCCAAAGGTTTCAAGAAAGGCTAACTGCATTTGACATGACATTTTAAGCATGCAAGTATCGTAAAGGTTCAGTTCTGTGAACCATATTATCTGCAAGCATTTTAAAGTTCATAAACTTTGCGGCTCAACCAAACTAAATTCCAGACAAACAACTTGGCAACTATTGCTGTTTGCATTGATTGTTTTTGGCTTAACTGTTTTTGTTAGCTTACGGTCGGAACACTATAAACAAATTTTATATGCACACAAACTTGGCGTAAACAAGCCAAGGCACTTAAGGCTGCACAAATTAGCAAATATTTGAGTATTAATATTTTAAATATATCTTAGGGGTGCCGAAGACTAAATACCCTTACAGACAAACAGACCTATTTTATAAGGTCTTGGTTCGAATGTCAGGCAAAAGCTCGTTATTGCTCGATTTTTTATACAAGAACTCTATTTAGTTATAGTCACATTCAGCCTACTTCTAGACATTATATAAATTACGAATTTTTATCTCTTCGCTTTCTATACAAAATTATTATGAGCATCAAAACGGCCAGACACTTTGTAACTTTCTGACAGACTCGGTGACAACTGAAGCTGTAAACAATGCAAAAGAATTTACTTAAAAATTTTGCTGCAATTAAATGCACATCAAAAGTGTCAAAATATGTGTGTACAACATGGCGTATGACAGACGCTGACAGCGACAAGAAACGTGTCAGAATGACATGCACAATACGCACACGAATACTTTGGCGGTGGTGGTGCCAAGTGGTATTTGGTGGTGTTACAACAGCTTCCGCAACCTTCTTTCGCGCGCAATGTAAAAAAACATTGCCTACTTTTCAGCGCAAGCAACGCAAACTCACAGGAGCTGCTTGCCTGCCCTCCTGTGTATGTGTGTGTGCCTGTGTGAGCGTAATTAAAAAACTTTTATTATTTGTGCCATGTGAGAGACACGACAAAACACACATTTGACAACTGAGCTGCACTTTATGCAAATTATAAATATTTAAAATTGTGACCCGTCTGCAAATTGGGTTGGCACATTGTAGTGTAATCCGATGAACTTATAGCAAGAAAAAAAGAAAAACAACAAAATTAAATGCAGCAGAATGATGCGGCACAGTAAGCCTTTATTAAAGGCAGGCGTGTATATGGAATGCTGTGGGCGTGGCTGGCTGTCTGATAAGAGACTCACGGGCAATCCAGTCAAGTGTGCGGACAGGGCAACGTCTTAATCCTTTAACTGACACGAACTACACCGAGTGGAAAGAGCAAGGCAGAAAGGGCGGCAGCAGCAGCGGGGAGTTCGCCAGCCAGCCCAGACAATGCAGTTGCGCTTTAATTAAATTCTTTTGTCGCAGCTTTTGTCCGCTTTTTGTACATGCAAAACGCGAACACTTGGCGCCAGCTGCACAAAAACGAAATTAATAAAAACGCCGAGGCCAATCATTGGCCTTGCTTGGGGGATTACGCCACACATAGATTTGCCCCCGGCAGAGAGAAGAGAATTTAATAAATTTCTTGCGTGGCAAAGTGTATGTCAAGAGACGGCTAACCAGAGAAACGGCATTGATTTCCTTTGCAACTATTCAATTTGCTGCTAATATAAACGAACAGGCGTCTTCTTCTTTCAACTGTTTGCTGTGCAATTTGGCATTGCCTAATTCTAGACGCCTTCTATTGACATTGCGGCTGTGCCAGCTGCCGCAGCTGTTGATGATGTGGTGACAATATTTGATTGCTTAATATCGAATTAATTTAACATATTTGCGGCGGCAATGCGTGTGCGGTTGCCTTATTGACACAACAATGCGTGCGTGTGACAACCATTTAAAATGCAATTAGAATGTACCTCAAAGTGCAGCACAAAGTTGTGCCCATTATATATCTTTATTAAATTTCTCGTCAAGGTGGCTTGCCAGGCAATTTATAGGCAATGCATAAAAAGTTTCAAAAATGTGCTGACCAGTCGCATATTTAGAAATAAAAAAGGGCTACAGCGAAGCTGTTGTACTCTTCCCACAAAAGCTTAATGCGTAATGAATGAAAGCTACAGAAAAATTATACTTATTGAATAGATTATAGCTCGCTTAAAGCTTTAATGGACTTTAGAAACTGAACGTAATGATAAATATTGAATATATAAAAGCATTCTGAAGGCTGGAATGAACTGCTTTTAGCTAGCAGATCAATATATTGGATGCACTGAAAATATTAAAGCTGGTAGTAAAGCTTTAAGCTTACGAATCAACTAATTGTAATAACTGCATATATTAAAGCTCGCTTAAAGCTTCATTGAGCACTGTAAGCTGAAAGTTAAAAGATAAACAAGTTTCTGCCAAGCTTACAGATCAATAAATTGTGTTTCCTGCACATATTATAGCTCGCTCTACTTGCTTCAACTGTGGCTAAGCTTATGAAAAAGAATAGTTGGTAGTTTGTTAAAAGTCTTCCATTTTGGTATATATATATATTGTGAGCAATATGATTATGATGCATGGTGTTGATGAATGAACCCAACTGCAGTGTAATATGACGCTGCAGTGTCCGAACGGAAAACTTTGTCCTTGTCCAAAGTTGTTTGCCTAAATGTATGCAATACAATTTTTCAACTTTCAACAAAACAACTGAGGCGTGCAAAAATTGTTGAACAGGCAAGGCAGCGAAGTTAACGTCGGCATTAGGCACACGCACACGCACATAGCAACACATCAGTACACACATACACAAATTGAAGTGTGTGCTTGGCATTAAAATCCAAAACTTATAGAGCTGCCCTGGCATTGTGCAGGCCAAGTTCACACTAATATAAATGTGCTGTGACTTCACGTCTATGCACATATATTTCGTTTTCCTGACCAGGCAAATTGTTTGACTCGGCGTCCAAATTGAAGCGCTTGGCAAATATTTTCGGTACAGTCCGCAGCTAAGCTGGAGCAGCAGACGCAGCAGCAGCAGAAGTGACGTTTGCGACGGCTTCTGGAAAATTGTTGCCGGAAAAATAGCAACATAACTGCAAATGAAATTTCGTAGATTTCGCTGCAAAGTAAATGAAGAATAATGTGCAAAAGCAAATTGCCAAAAAGGGGCGTAAGCGACAGCAACAGAAAATACCAAATACACAAATAAACAAGCAAGAAGATTCTAGCTGTTAGCCTAACCTAACTAGAAGATACTCCTTGACACTAAGAGGATTCAATTTACAAAGGATTAACTTAAGGCGCCGTAAATATTATTTCGCATCAGCTTTGTCAACCACAGAAATTGGCAAGTCAAAACAAAGATTTACTCTGCGATTGTTAGCTTTCTATGCCAGCTTTTAGCAGCTCTTTGTGTAGAGGGTATACAAAAAGAAACGAGAACAGCACAAATTATTTTCATTGTTGCTGACACCTCAGATGCTCGCCAAGATGCCGACAAAGATGTGAGCCCGACGATGGAGCAACTTTTTAATTAAGAAATCTTGCGGCATTGCTTAAATATTTCAACTGCAGCTGCAACTGCAACTGTTGCAACTGCAATTGCTTCCTAATTAAGACATAAACGCACGCGCTGCCACTTGAATAATTTGTGGCCAACACAAAGTTCGAGGCGTGGCACCAATTCAAACTTTTATTTATGGCCATAAAATGCAATTACACATCATCTTTAGCACGGCTGAACGGGCCAAACAAAATCCGCTTGGGCGCAACAGCCCTAATCGAACATATTTCTTTCTCGGTAGCAGAAAAAAATACAAGCAATAAAATGATGAGCATTCAGCTGCCGTACGCAGAGATACCCTTTATATAGATAATCATAAGCTAGTTGCAGTTTATGCTGCCTTAAAAGTTGATGATTTACTTAGACCACGTGGCCTATTATTAATGTAAATATATTTTTTAATAACAATTATCTATGTAGCCCTGACTAATATACCCCCTCTATAAAGATTTCCTGGGGTATAACAATAATATGGCGCCAGTTTAGTGGGCCAATATTTATGGTAAGTTTATGAGTTTTTATGGGCACAGTCACAGTTTTTGGGGCGACGTGTTGGCTATGATTGTGGGCAATCTTGTGGGGCACGGTATAAAATATTGAAACGAGTCATATTCTTATTCAATTACGTGTGACACAGTGTGTGGGTGTGTGTTTGTCGGGGCGTGGGTGTGTGGGTGTGTGTCACAAGACCGAATCGAGTTGTTAGGTTAATCAGCATAAAAATAAGCAGCGGGCAGATAGAATTGAAAGCTGCCTTCGACCTTGCTTTGGTCTCTGTGGCGACTCAACTTTTGCAGCGGGATACACGCCCACAGATATTTGCATGCTATTTATACACACAGACACACACACAGACCACACACACAGAACACACACACAGGCTCGCTTGTGTATATCGCGTATTTAAATGAACTGTCATGCAAATACACGACACATATACTACATTGAATGTCTCACAACTCACTTGAGCTTAAAGCCAGTTTTGCTGCCTGTCACACGCCCCACCCCACCGCACCACACCGCACCGTCCCTCGCCCAGTGCCTAACGCCCAACGCCCTTAGCCTTCAGCTTAATATGGTCGTCTCTGTCAGCCCGTCTGCTGGCAAAATAGTTTCCTGTGGCGCACTCAAGTCGCAAAGCTTCTTTAGAGTATTTATGTTGGTTATTAAATGGATTTGCCTCGCACCATGCAACGATTTCAATTGGATTTGCGTGGCATGGCAGTTTTTATGCCCTGCACACACACCAACACCAACACACAACCCGCACACCCACACAGCACTGTGAAAAGTAGCTACATAAATGTTTATGCCACGGCTATCACATGCTTATAACTTCCTGTCCCACACTCTCACACAATTGCAAGCGTTAAATGTAAGCACTTTATCGAGCGCTACAAGTATTTGCTGGGCATATATTTGCGCCGGGCCCAAACACCTTTCAATTTTATTGGGGCTTTTAGTTAAATTGCAAGGCCAAAACTTTTGCCACTACAATAACTCCAAATGCTGCCACGCTTCACTGCACGCTGGTATCTGGCCTAAAAGCACTCGCAAACCCACAGCCCCGGGAAATATGTAACCTTAACCTTGTTCAATTTGTTTCAGATTTTATAAATGTTGCTGTCATCCAGTTTGTGGCGGCGTCCAAAATCGATTTGTTAGAATTCATAATCTCAATTTTATGCCATTTGAAGATTGACAATATTATTTTAAGAAACTAAGCAGAATTGTAAACAACAAAATTGAATAATAAGAGATATAATGAGAATATTAATAAAATTAATAATAATATTAAAATTAAGCATATATATAAAAAATGACAAGTAATCAATAAATGTATTAAATATATATTTTTGTGTCCTCTTTATTTTAAATATTTAAAGTAATTTTATATCTGAAAGAAATACCACCTTTGGCATAATATTTTTATTTTTATTTAATTTAAATTAATTATTTTAATGAAGCACTTAAAACATTCATATTAATGCATAAAGCGCATGCTGCATGCCTGCGGTTAACAATGCAAAAATTACGTACAGGCTGTTGCGTGTCACTCACGGATGCGGCTGATGATCAATCTTAATACGATTGCGATTAATTGGCGGGCCATGAAGTGGGAGCAGGGTATGCTTGATTGATGCCCTAACGAAAAGTCTGCAGGGTATGACAAGGGCGTTGATATGTGATATACTTGGTCGTGATGGAGAGGGGAGAGCTGGGCAACTTGTTAAGAATGCGTAATAATTAAACGAATTTTGCTAGGACATCTATCCATTTACAATTATTTATACATTGTTTTGGCATTTTTGACCTCACGTTGTTTGGGTTTCATTTTCGCTTAACGTTTGTTTTGAGCTGTGCTCGGCAAGTTTTTCTTTTGTTTGTGCCAGCTAATTAATGGCCCAAAGGGTCCGCTTGGCCTTTTGTTAGCTGCTGCCGCAGCATCTCGCCATTTTCTCAACTGATTAGTCCCGCTGCATTGTCAATGAAGAACAAAGGTTGGCTCAGAGCTGCCAGAGCTGCCAGAGCAGCCGCTATTTACCCAGAGTTGATGCTGTGTGCAGTGCGTATTTATTTAATTTGCTGCTTGTTGGGCATTTAATTAAGCGTAGCCGCTGCCGCTGCTGCTGCTGCTGCTGCTGCTGCTGCTGCTGCTGCTACTCCAGCTGCTGCTAAGCTGCAGTTAAAAGTTGCCTTTTGCTGTGCTGAATTTTAAAATCATCGAATCGCCAGCGGATATACTTTGTAATGAGTTTATTTGTCTGCTTACGGTTTGCTGTTGTTTATTTGGCTAAAAGATGCTTTCAATTCGGTTTCCGGCCAGCAAATGAGCCAAGCAACCTGCAAATGTGGCAACAATAACCTAAAAAAAATACGCGTTTCCTGCCTTTCGCTTTTTTGTATTTTGGGCTCTGCTTTAAATGCACAACACGACAGCAGCTGCTCTCTATGAAAACAACAACAGCAACGAGAAATGCAGCAGCTACAACAGCAACAACAGTGCAGTCAAAATAAACAAAACAGGTGCACATTATTCAGCTGCTGTGTGCGAGAGGGGGGAACAGGCTCTGCGGGGCTGCGGGTCTGGCTGCCAGCAGCCACACTGCGGATATTGTCGCACGGCCTAGCCGACTGAAGTGTCTGTGAAAAAGTCAAAACAACAACAACAGCCACAGCCACAGCCACTGGCTAACGAGACACAGTAATTCAGCATGTGTGTGTTTGTATGTGAGTGTGCGTGAGTGTTAGCCATGTGTACAGTGATGGACACGTTTATAGAAACAAATTTCAGCAATAAAACATATGTATTTCAATTGAAGGTCTGAACAATACTGTTTTGGCTCAAAAAAACAAAATAATAAACTAAATAACTGTAGTCCCAATCATTGAATTCATATAACCATATTAAAAATTGGGTATGTATTGCTAATATATTGTAATGTATTGCTATATATATATATATATATATATATATACGGCCTGCAATATTTGTAGAACAAGAGACAATTCAAAATTGTCAACTGTATTGTTTTTAAATAGGAAAAATAAATATATGATAAGGTCCTGGTTCATGGACGTAGAAAACCAAGATTCTCAACCAGAAATTCAAGAGAGCGAGCTGGTTCAAAGTCGGAATGGAACCACCAACAGTTTTTCTTAAGTTTGCTGCCCTGATTATAGTACTAAAAAGATGTCACACACACAATATTTTTACTTTAATAATAATTAGTTCTTCTTAATTATCGAGTGATTCGAATGAGAAAATATGTGTTCTGAAACTTTCTCAGCCTGCTTATAATATCGTTTATACCAGAGAAACAAGAGCTTTAAAGCACGAACAGCCAGTAAGCCAATGTGATACGTATACCAAGAAAAATAAGTATAATATATGATATATTTTGTTAAACATTTTTCAAATTTCTTAGATCTAGGCAGTCCTTCAGTTAGCTGTCTGTGAACGCTGAGCTGGAGCCGATACAAAATTGAGAAGTAGTCATTCGAAATTCAGCGCTGCACATTAAGATACATTTTTTTTATTAATTTTATCGAAAAAATCTTGAAAACAGATTAGAGCCAAGCATTTCATACGTTTCGCCAATCATGTCCGATTCCTTCTCAAGCTGGATGCCATCGCTGAATCTGATGGTCAACAATGAAGACGACGACGAACAGAACGGCGATCAATTCATGCAGAATCGACCATACGGACAGCGCTTGTCTCTGTTTCACAACGAGCTAAACAACCTGAGCCCGCTGGCCAAGCTCTATCAGAATATACCTGTCTATGGCACTGGTCCGCTGACCGACGATGAGAAGCGCGAGATCGCCAGACGGAACAATGCATTTGTACCAGGCCCAACTGAGGCTGAGAGCCAGCAGGCGGATGCCCAGCAGAATGGAAATGAGTAGAGGCTCGCAAAAGACCAAAAGAAATTTCGTAAGCTCTATGGTGTTAGTTAAACATAAACATACATATAATTTCTACGGCTGTCATTTGATATGCTCAAAAATGGTTTTAAGGTTGTAAACAATTCGTTAAAACGTATCGCTTAAACTTTTTTTTTGGAATTATCGATTCGAAATATGTTTCAATATTTTGGTGATCTATTAAATTCAAATCAAACCTCAAAAACCCCTCCAGAGACTTAATAAAAATTGAAAGCTGTGCAGGTCTTATACTCTGTAGAGGCAAGGATTTTATGCGTTAGGTCCAGGTGCGTGAATTACTGGGTGAATAATAATAATAATAATGCTACAAGTTAACAGAAGCAGCTTAAGCTATAAGCTAGAATTAAAATTAAAATTCGTAGAAGTTGCATCGTGGTAGGTAGATTCCATGGAAGGCAAAGTTCCAGCAATAGGGCAGCTACTGCTTCCAGGAAACCTTTGGACTCATTGTGCTGGAAACAGAGAGGGGCACAGTCTGGAGCTGTCCACCACAGTGTCACAGCTCATACCTATTTTCTTTTTTTACAGTTTCTGGACTTAAAATACCCAAGAGTTTGCTTTTGTGTGCTATTGAACCTTAAACTTTTTCTATTTTCTTTTCATAACTTTTGAGTGCATTAGTTGACCTACAAATTTGAATAGCATTGTATGTGTACATACATGTGTGTGTGTGGGTTTATGTGTGTGCTTGCGCTTACGTTGCTTTGTTAATACATTTTTCATAATTTACATGTTTGTTGACTTTTTTTATGTACAACCAGAGACTTGACTAAAAGCTGCAGCCAGCTTTGGCAAACCCCTATCCCCTTTCCCCCCTACCACCATCCTCATCTTGTTGGAGCAGATGCTTGTGTGCGGCTTCTGAAACTGGTTCAATGCTCAGTTACAAACACTCATACACACACACACACACACACACAAGAGCGCAACACACACACACACGCATACGAACTGCGGCCCATTTTGCTGCGCACATTTTTTATGTTGGTTTAAATTTCGTTGGCGCCCCATAACAAAATAAGTCTATTTATTTAATTGAAGTGCGTTGCCAAAATAAAATAAAATAAAGTAAAAATGAAACTGAGTTTTTCTGTGATAATTTTCAACCACAGGCGTTCGCGCCCCTCCTTGTCAATATTTGTGCGAAATTCGTTGGAAAATGCAAACAATTAAGCTCTTGTGCAAATAATTACAAAATGTACTTTTGTGCGTGTTACATTTAGCGTGAAATTGATCAAATTAAAAAAGTAGCAAATTATAAGAAAATTGAAATTGAAATTGTTGCATAGCGACAGGCGCAACGCACACTCGAATAACTTCTTGCGAGGCAGAAAGTTTCTTGCATCTGTGGCAGGCGACTAAGGAGCTTAAGGCAAGTGTCGGAGTAGAGCGTAACTTAAAGTAGCCTCCAAGTTCCCCTCCACCCCGCATCGACCACACCAGCCTAGTCATAACTTTGTCCATAGCTGCAATTTGCGTGCCTCGCCATTTGCCGACAATGGACGCGCAAATTCTAATATCGCAGCCACAAATGTCAAATTATAAGGAACGTAAATTTATAAATTGTTTTTCATTTCTATTGTTGTGTGTTTTATTGCTATTTATGATGAAACGTGCGAATTTTCACACATTGTTAGTGCCCATTGCCGCGTTCTTGTCTTTCATGTTTGGCAGTCATAAAAAGCAAATGCTGCTGGCATTCCATTCGAGATTTGCGGCACGTCTAAAAATAAAATACAACAAAGCCAAAAGATATGGTATAAAAAGAAAACAAATTAAATAAATATTTTGCACAGCTGTTAGGACAGCAATTAAAACGTGCTTTGATGAAGCTGCCACAAAAGGAAACAACACGAAAAAAATAAAGGAAAAAATCAGCAAAAAGTTATTAAAGTGACAAGTACGCACATGAGAGGGCCAAAACCAACGGTAGCAAAAACAACAACAAGGGCAACAACAACAACAAAGAGCGCTGTCAAACCAAAAAAGCAAATCCAATTTTAAGCCGCCTCAAAGCCGCAGGCCAAAGCAACAACAACAACAACAACAAAAACAACACCAAAAACAATGGCTACTTAAACGCAGGGGCCAACGCCCGTGTTTGATATGCGTGAGTGTATGAGAAAGTCCCAGTAAGAATAACAGCGAATGTAAGAAGGAGAGCCAAATATAACTTTAAGTTAAGTGCTTACACAAAAAATATACTTTAAAATATCGAAGCTGAAATGCACTGAATGGCAATTATTATGCCAAGTGGAACTCGCAATA